GTATCGTATGATTCCTTTTATATGGAATGTCCAGAGTAGGCAAATCTGTAACACCAGAGAATTGGTTGCTTAGGGCTGGAGTGAAATATTGTGTGGTTGGTTGGTGGTAACTGAAAAGTACAGGGCTTTGGGGGTTGACATAGATGTTCTAAACCATATTTGAAAGGTTGGACAACTCTGTGAATATACTAATAACCATTGCATTGTACATTGACAATGGGTGAATTACATATGTGAATTTTGTCTCAGTAATGTTATCCACCCCCTTCTCATCTGAATCAGTTTTAACATCTTACTCTTGAGAGAGAGAGAGGGAACAGATATGGTTAATCATCTTTCAAGAATAGTTTAATAGAACAAAAGTTACGAAGTTCTCAGTCTGGTGTGGAACATTTGCGTGAGGGAGCGCAGTGTACCGCACGCGCCGGGACTGTGCAAAAGCTGCTGCACACAGAGCAAGTGGGATTGCTTGGAACTTCAGGGAAGGCTTTACTCACCAGGCGGCAAGGGGCAGAAGGGTGTTCCTGGCCAAGGGTGGCACGAAGCATGTGGTGATGTTGCTTTTTAAGTTACAGAGTTGGGTAGGGAGTGCAAGTGGTGGCAGACGGGTCTGGAAAGGGAGATTACCTTTCAAAACGTTAATCTTTCATTAAAGAGGAAACTATATATGTAAATACTGTGCTGAACCAGTCTTTATCTTCTGGAGTTCTGAGTTTGTGAATTAATAACACAGAGCTCTCATTTGCTGAATGTTTGCAGTGTGCCTGGCCCCAGTCTGAGGTCCTTTCTTATGATACTCCTCACAACTCAGTGAGGGGTATGCTACTATGGCGTGTGTCAAGCGGACGAGGAAAGGGGCAGCAAGAGGGTCCCAGTGGCCACAGCTGTGCAGCTGGTGGGTGAGTGAGGAGGCCCAGAGTCAGAGTCAGGCAGCCAGACTCCGGAGCCCGCCTTCCTGAACCCTGACCTCCCGGTGACATCTCTGGGGGCAGCAGTCTGCGGAACCATTGTTCTAGTTGAATTTCTTCCAGCCTCTTTTTCAGGGTGCTTTTGGTTCGTTAAAATGACCAAATGTGTCTACAATTAACTTGGCAATCACTTTGTTTTTCTTGCACAACTGTAGTTGTTGCTGGTTCACTTAATAAATTGCAGAAGAAGAACAGAGTGGTGATAATCACAGGGATTTCTTACTTGAGCTGTGTGTATTTAGTGTTCATTCAGATTACATTTGCTTTAGGTTGAGAGAAATCCTTCTAAACAGTGATGACACTGGTTGTTCCCTGAGATGACTTCTTGTGTAAATCTGTCTGTCAACACCATTTGGAAGGCTTCTGACTCAGAAGACGAACATCCTTGGGATGGGCAAAGTGATGCTTGTTTTGCTTTCCCTAAAAGTAGTTCTAGGTGTAAGAAGTGATGTGACTGACTTAGGGTCTTAGATTATGGCCCAAATACAGACTTTTAGCAGTTCTGCCCTTTGTTTTTTTGTGTAGATTTTCCTACCTTTAATAGCTTTACTGACAACAGTAACACTCTAAAATGAGAGAACATGTCTTATATTAGAGAGGGTAATAGGTTGGTATTTTTTGAACCATCAAAGGCCTAGGTCAAAACTAAGCTTTTCCTCTGACTTTTTAGTCAAAGAACATACCCTTTAGCTAATACCCCAAGACAGAAGTTCTTTGGTGCTGAGAGTCAACGACAGTCACATTTTCCTTGAGAAAGGAAGGAAAGCTCTATCTCTGGATAGCTGGGCAGATCCATAGCCCCATAGCACAAAATTCGGGCAACTGAGAACCCAGCTGGCCCCCAGTTGGCAATTCCTCAACATTCTGGTATGTCCTAACATTGCCAAATAGGCTGGAAGGATTTAGAGAACAGGAAGTAAGCTACTGGGAGATAAGGCTGCAGCTGTAAATTGTAGACAGGGGAGGAAATGGGAATAACAGCATTAGCAGTTTGGCTTTATTTTTAAACCAAAAATCACTGGAAAGATTTCTGTCTCTAAGGGTGTTACTCACCTATTCGTTTATACTGTTGGAACTCTTAGCAAATTGTGTAAATGGGACCACGTTTCCATGTACTGCTGCATCTCAACTGATGAAGAATTTCTGAAAGATGAAATTGAGTCTGTGAACATTTCATTTATCCAACAATGGCAACTATGTTGTCATAAAGACCAAAAAATCTTTAATTTCACATTAGAAATCATTTGAAAATATTTTTTGCCTCCACTCTTTTGTGTTTGTGTCATGCTATGACCATTCAAGCTTTTTCATGAAGAGGTTTGTTTTTGATGGATGTTAAAGGTAGAAAGGTAGATAATGTGTCTAGCCCCTCTCCTCTGGAGTATGACATCTTGTCGTCAAGTATTATTTTACAGAGAGGATCATAGTGGATGAGTATTCATTGGTATTACATTTAAATAAGGTAATAATTTAAAAACTGATCAGTCATGAATATTGTGTTTTTAATTTGTCATGTTCCATTCCACAGTGGCCATTCTGAAGTACATGAATGACTATGGGTTTAAATAACTGTTGTGTTAGGGACCAAATTGTAGCCACATGCACATCTGTGGATTCTAGTGCTTGGGTCAAATCATTGGCAGATCTGAAAGAAGTTTGTGAAGTTGGCTTTTATTTACCATTTGGAAATCCTATATTTTATGACATGTTCAGTGTCATTTAAGGACTTTTGTTGATGTTGGTCTAACTTAAAATCAGTAATTCTAATACAGGATTTTTTAAACTAAGCTAAAAAAAAAAATGAATCTGGGTTTGTTGCCCTGCTCCCCACGTGAGTTGAGCCCCCTCCTGTGTCTGTGTACAGAGGACTATATTAATGTCTGTTTAGGAAACAACTCCAGGGACACAAGATGTCCTAATCGCTGTCCTTAGCCCTAACAGTGTCTGGTTTAATCATAGGCAGGCAGGCAGTGTATGCTGTTGTTCAAATGCCTTTGGGAATTGAAAGTAAACTACTTGAGGGAGCCGCGGTGGCTGTGGCCGGTTGTCCTGGCGCACAAGGAGGCGAGGCTGTGCAGTCGAGGCCACCTGGGCAAAATTGGGGAAAAAAAAAAAAGGAAAGTAGACTACTTGAAATCATTTTCAATACCTTCTATATAGTTCAAAGATATAAGTTAACAAGGATTACAACCTCTAATAATATATTGTTGTTTGCACAATATATTCAAAATTACTATATGTCAGTATTCAAAGGTGAACATGCTGTCCTTTTCCTCAAGCAGCACAGACCTGTGGTGGGGGGTGGTGTTCACAAGCTGATAGTTACGTAAGCAGTGCATCCGCAGAGCTATGACTAGAGCAAGGAAGAGGGTCTCAACAGAGAGGATACAGCTAGATGGGGCCACCTGGGAGTTCTTCGTGTCCACATCCATGCAAGGTGAGCCGTCAACTGGATTCAGTTTTCCTGGTTATCACCAGGTCTGAAAAGATCTCAGCCTCACAGCTGCCTCTGATTTTTGCAGTTTTAAAAAAGAGCTATGATATTCTTCACACTTTAAGTAGGTAATAATTTTCTCTCGAAAAAATTGATTTTATTATACATTTTACAACAAGTGCAGATAACACCAAGTGTGGCCAACCAAGGCTGCTCAAGGCAGACTAAATCAGGTGGTTCTTGGGGGTTCCTCCTAGCCCTCTGGTGCCCTAGACACAAGTTTAAAGACCTAAAATCAGGTGTGTCCATGGCATTGCTTTGAGAAGTCCCAGGGTTTATGCGTTAGTCTGAAAGCAGAAATTGTACTTTGGACAGAGGGTGTGAGGAGGGGCTTGGGCACTGTGGAAGTCTTTAACCATCAGTCCTTTTTGTTTTCAGATATAAATTAGAATTTGGAAACCATTAACACCAGTGCCACATGTTCACAACTATTATGATTAGCTATTAGGCACAAAATGCTGGGAGTAGACAAAGGTTCAAATCTTTTTTTATTCATAGCAGGAGTACTCTTGCTGGTTAATAATAGCTCTCATTTTATTGATGTATGTCAGTATCTAGCTGTGTGTCTGGAGGTTCTGACTTCCCAGCTGGAACTTACCTGAGAACAGCAGGTGTGTTTCATAGCTACCAACTCAGTATTAGTCACATAGCATGAACGTAAAAAATGTGTGCTGAATGTCTCAGAATTAATTCGTGATCACCAGGATGGGCCAGTCAGGAACAGCCTCAGGGAACATTCTCCAGGGTGAGCCCTGCCGTGTTGCTTTTGTGGCTCATGGTGTCCGGGAACCATTCCGTAACCCTCAGTCCCTTGCTACTTTTACTGGGCTCTGTGAGGCCACCCTCAGACTCCTCCGGCACTCATCTATTCTCAAAAGCCACCTAGCAGAGCTGCTACCTTTTTAGATAAGTGATCAGAATTTTTCAAATTATAAAACAAAGTTCTTAGAAATTTTGAAACTTATAATTTCTTCCTATTTCCTCTGGTGATAAATCCTAAACAACTTAGATTTTTCAAATATGTATTTTTTTCCCAAATTAACCACATTCAAATGCTAAACTATTTAGAAATAAGGTAGACCAAAAAAGACACTGAAAATTTTGCTTCAGGAGGAAAATGAACCTAAATAGTACTCACCCTTTCCTCTTTCCATACTAAATAAATAATACCCTGATTCAAATCCATAGTAAATGCTGTTAAAATAGTTTCCCTACAGCACAGGACCAGCAGGTGAAGGATCATCTGTGAGAGGCAGGCGTTGGGTGCGGACGGGCCCCAGGTCCCCTCTTTGTTTTTGTAGTAGTGGGCATGTTCGCGCTGCCTCTCATTGTTAGGAAGCTGTGTCAGTGGGGCTGATTCCCTGTGGACTCTCGTGTGAACTCTGGCTGTTCCCTCCACTGATCCCTGCATTCTCCCCCAGTCTTCTCCCTTTACTGACTGCATTCTAATTAGTTCTTCAAGTTTGATCACATCACAGAAATAATCCTGGCCCACAGATTCATTTCCTGTGGTAAATGTCTTCTTGGTGGTTTTCTAGGTTGTGCTGGTGAGGTGGAATGAGCCCTACCAGAAACTGGCCACGTGTGATGCGGATGGAGGCATATTCGTGTGGATTCAGTACGAGGGCAGGTGGTCTGTGGAGCTGGTCAACGACCGCGGGGCGCAGGTGAGTGGCAGGTGCAGCTCTGCCAGTGAAAGGCTGCGGGGTAGAGAATGCCCAGACAGGCATTCCAGAGCAAGCGCGTTAGCACCACACAGCAGCCCGTGCTCCAGAGCTGGGGGAAGAGAAATCAATCAAATTAGAATCCTGTGGCCGGGCGCAGTGGCTCACGCCATGATCCTAGCACTTTGGGAGGCCGAGGCGGGTGGATCACGAGGTCAGGAGATCGAGACCGTCCTGGCGAACACGGTGAAACCCCATCTCTACTAAAAATATAAAAAATTAGCCGGGCGTGGTGGCGGGTGCCTGTAGTCCCAGCTACTCAGGAGGCTGAGCTTGCAGTGAGCCGTGTGCGCCACTGCACTCTAGCCTGGGTGACAGCGTGAGACTCCGTCTCAAAAAAAAAAAAAAAATCCTGCTTTTCATTTCTTTTGCATGTGTCACTGATAAAAAGAGAGTGCAGGATCATGCCTCGTTTTCAGCCGTGCTGCTGTTGTGAGAACTCTCCAACTTTTAAGCTTTAATTAGATCTGTGAAATCATTTTTTACCCTTCAGTGTTACAATTCTGTGTTAAATTTGGGGCCTCTGGCATATCACTGTTTTGCCCCCTTTGAAAGGTATCTTCCCTGTGTTGTCATTTCATCGGTCTCATGGAGAGCTTCACGTGACTTCTCACAACCTGCTCAACAAGGGAAGGGGGCTACAATCTCTTCCACAGGTTTCAATCAGCACAGCCACCTGTTGTCATCTTCCAGCTCTTCCTTTCTGATACAATTTGCCTCTGCTCTCAGGAAACAGTTGTACCCAGGACACCTGCTGAGCTGCACTGTTTCTAGTTCTCCCGTAGATTGTTCTGGTTTATGGGACAGCTTCATGGTGCACTTTTTGTATGGGTTTAAGGACACAAGTTTGAGCAGGTAGCTCCCATCCTGGGGATTGTACAAAACTGTGACTTAAGAACCTGGGTCCTCAGGGGGTGTCAATTAATAATTAATGAGAGGTTTCTTGGACTATTTTAACTCTCAGAATGATTTCCCTGTGGCTGCCTTTCTATACACTTCTAAGGTACTTGGATTCTCATCCTTCCCTCTCCCACCTGTTGCTTAAATAAGCTGTGAGCTTCCCAAGCTGCAGATCGGTCAAGTGACATAAAATTACAATGAATGAAGATGGTATTGTCGGCGGCTCACGAAAGACCCTGTGTGAAAGCAGCATTCTTTTTTTCTGAGTTGATTTGGTAGAGTCAATGTAATAATATTGACTGACTGATTGGCCTTACCAGTTTCCTTCAGGCCTCCTTACAGTGAGAAAAGGAAGAGGCAGAGCGTCCTCTGTGACCATTAACTGGCCTTCTTGAAGGAGAGCCACAGATGTGGACATCTTCATGTGGGTGGACATGTGATCAAGAGCACGAGCTCCGGAATCAGACAATGTCAGCCATGAATCTCACCCCATGACTTGTGTGGGAGATACTTCCCTGTGTCTCAGTTTTCTTATTTGTAATGTAGGGGCTATAATGTGCCTGCCTCAGGATCACGGAGGATTACATAAGACTGTGTATGAAAAGTGCCTATGGCACTGCCTGCATCTTATCACAGTACCACCTTATCTAGCACAGAACTGCCCTGCCCTGAAGCAGTAGCCATAGGTCATCACCAGAATGAGTTTCAGGCCTTGAGGTAGCAGCTTTTCATGGTTTTCTGTGAAATGGACGCCTCTCCGAGTTGGCCTGTAAAGGTTCTGAAATGCTGTCATTCTTCCATTAACCAAAGCATGGGATTCTTTTCCCTAGAAAGGCCCAGTGATGAGGTGAGACATATCCTCAAATTTAGGGTGACCAGAGGACTTGAAATCACTGCTCAGAGGAAGAAATGGAAGGGGATCAAGGATAAACGCCAAATGAGGGAGAAGGATAAACGCCAGATGAGTGCTTGGCTTTTTTATGCGTTATATCTTTCAGTCTCCAGGAACCCTGTTCTGAAAATATTGTTATTCTCAGTTAATAGAAGAGAAGAATCCAGGTCAGGAGTTCAGTAACTTGTCCAAGGAAGTTCATGGGTGGTAAGCCAGAATTCAAACCCTAGTTTGTTTGAGTCTGTAATTCCTCACCACATTATCATGCTCCCAAACAAGAAAGGATTTTCTCTTTTGTCGGAAATGCGTGTATTCGTAGTGTAGTTACATGCTGCATAATGACGTTTCAGTTAACGCAGACTGCATATACAATGGTGATCTCATAAGGTTATAATGGAGCTGAAAAATTTCTCTCACCTAGTGACATTACAGCACGACACATTCCTCATGTGTTTGTGGCGTTATGGTGTGAACAAACCTACTGTGATGCCAGTTGTATAAAAGTGTAGCACATTTTTATACAAGCATATGGAGTCCAAAAGTCCATAATGCTTGATAATAACAAATGACTATGTTACTGGTATTTACTGTACTTTTTATTATTTTAGAGTGTGCTT